TATATCATTATTATAATTATATTATTATATTATTATTATATTATTATATTATTATTATAGTATTATTAATATCATTATTATTTATTATTATTATAATTATATTATTAATATATTATTATTATAATTATATTATTATTATATTATTATTATATATTATTTATTATTATTATGATTATATTGTTATCATATTATCATTATTATAATAATATTATTATATTATTATATTATTATTATATTATATTATTGTATTATTATTATTATATTATTTTAATATTATATTATCATTATTATAATTATATTATTAATATATTATTATTATTTTTGTAATTATATTATTATTATATTATTATTATTATATTATTATTATATTATTATTAATATCATATTATTATTATAATTATATTATTATTATATTATTATTATTATTATTGTTATTATTCTTGTGTCGTGTCCCATCATGGCTCACCATAAATTCCCATAGTTTGTAGCGCTTAGTAATGTTTATATTCTTCAATCCTTGTCTGACATCCATTTAAACAATCTCGTTAGGTAGGTTACTTGCTTTTTTACCTTTGCCCGCTCAATACCTTTAATATGTGCTGCTAGGTAAAATTCTCTAAACCTTCTTTCCTCATTATTTTCCTGGAAATGTTAACTGTCTCTCTCTGATTCTAAGTTTGTGTCGTACGTGATTTTAATAAGCTTCCGTCACAGGTATTGCTTATGTATCATGATTAATGCAGGTTTATGTTTCAAATATCATATCCGCAAAAAACGATCACTGATACTAACGTGACAATGAATGTGAGATAATCTTAATGGCACACTGATGTAATAAGGGTAGCAATTATGCTATTTTTAACTTGCATTGTCCTGGCGTCGGTTTAAAAAGACATGTTCTTTTTTTTTATTTACACTATTTACATTGTTCGGAGCATTGGCCCAATCTTCATTGCCATATTCACGACGCTTTGGCCGTTGTACGCTCTGGCCTTCTTCCGGTTGATTGGAATTTCGAACTGAACCCTTTATTTCCCCCAAAGACACATGGCTCAGTCTTTAAAAAGCTTTGGTTGATTCCAGTGACTTGACCCAAAGAGTTGTGAGTTCAATATATAGCTACAGCTGAGGTGAACAAAATTGTCCAGGTTATACCCTGTAAAGAAGAGTAGATTTTTAAACTATTTGCATTGTTTGGACTGCTGTCTCCATTTTCGTTGCCATATTCACGACGTTTCGGCCGTTGTATGCTTTGGCCTTATTCAGGTGATCGGAATTTCGAATCGAACCCTTTATTTCGCCCACCGGGTAGATTGTTATCGTTCCAATTGCCATGTCTCTTCTGGATGACTCAGTATCAATTATCTCCCATTTACTCTCTCCCAGATTGGAGTTCGATACCTAGCTATCTCAACTCTTAGGGTCAACTCACTGTATTCAACCAATGCTTTTATCCACTGGGCAATGTGTTTTCTTTTTTTCCATATATTTAAACTATAATTTTGGAAAGTGAAACATCCATTGAAATATGTTCGAAATTTTGGAAGTTTCCATCTGAAATAAAAATTTATAAAACTGGTCATAATATATGGATAAAAGATAGCGTCAGTCTAGATTTATGTCAGGTAGAGATGAATTAAAGACAAACGGAATTACATTTAAATTTGAATAGTTTTACTTGTTTACATAAATAACTCTTTTGAGTTTCGAAATTACAAAGATGAGAAAACAAACAATTATGGATGCTAGTCATATTTATTTTTATTTTTTTAAATTTCAGTTATAGTATTTTTGCGTTAGGGCGATGTAAATCTTCCATTATATGCAAGAAAAATCTAGGCTACATGTATTTATCCACGAGTTGCTAAAACATTAGACGAAACGTCCATAGAACTCGTAGTACAGACTGAAACGCTTTCATGTTAATAATTATATATCAGGAATTAATTGATTTTATTATTAATCTGACAAACATAAAAATAACGTTTAAAGTTATAAGAAATAATTTCGGATTAAAAATAAAAACCATTAATTCTTTACACACACACATATATATATATATATATATATATATATATATATATATATATATATATATATATATATAGGTATGTGGTTAGGTAAATGAAATAACTAGATATTAGCAAACTTAAGTGGCACACCAAACGATTGTATATGCGTATTTATTAATATATACATATATATATATATATATATATATATATATATATTAGTAATAATAATGATAATAATAATAATACATATGCATATATATATATATATATATATATATATATATATATATATATATATATATATATATATATATATATATATATATATATATATATATATATATATATATATATATATATACATATATATATATATATATATATATGATAGAAATTATTAGGAGGGTTTGATAATTATATTTCAGACTCGATTAATTACTTAAATATATATAATACACTACACTGATCTCATAACTCCGTGATTCATACACACTCTCTCTCTCTTCATATATATATATATATATATATATATATATATATATATTTACATATGTGTGTGTAAGTGTGTGTGTGTGTGTGCGTGTGTGCAATAACACACACACACACACATATATACATATATATATTTATATATATTGCGCATATATATATATATATATATATATATATATGAAAAAAAGAAATGGATTAAGTCCGCCAATATTTATATATTTCCTTTTCATAAGTTATTTTCATAGATATAATATATTTAAGTAAATGCTCTGTTTTTTTTTGTTTTTTTTGTTTTTTTTTTAATTAAACGATATTAATTAAATTTACCGGCCTTAATATTCCAGAAATTTTGTATAATTACACAGGTTCCCATCATGTTGGACAACGCATATTCTCTAGAAAATTTTTCGAACATTCAGTCCGCTATTATTATTATTATTATTATTATTATTATTATTACTTAAATGTTATTTTTAGTTGATACTCGTATTTAATTATATATTAAACAGGATATTTATTTTTTGTCTCCCTTCCTGAATACCCGAGAAATCTTATCATATGAAATTATGCAGTCTCCGCCAGTGTTCAAATCTGTGTCCCCTAAAGGAAAAACTTAATTAGACCTGACGTGCTTTGACCCCTCAGCTACAGAATTCATCGATGACCAAGCAAATTTGAATAGCGTATTTGAAAAAAATACTTATCTTTGACTACCGAAATTGATATATCTGCTCAGTTTCGTATCCTAACGTAAACTAAGCAAGTTTAAGAAAAGGAATTAGATCTGTTTATTAATGCGCATATTTTTATTACTTTAATCTGCGTTTAAAGATGAAGCGATTGTATCAATTTCTCGTGACCTTTCACTTGTTTTGAAATTAGAACTGTCCTTCTAGAAGTAATTGCTTAGATGGGAATGGCCGAGCCTCGTGAAATTTACTTGCCATTCCATTAAAATATAATTGAAATCATTTAAGGAAATTTTTTGCCATAGAAAAATACGCCTGTTTTAAAAAAAAAACAAAAAAAACCTTTAATCAATTTGAAATTAACAATATATATATATATATGCATAAAATACGTGATACTATTTGTATTTACTGTGGTAAAAGACTGGAAAATTTTTTTATTGATAAAAGGATCGATATGCTGAAAGACTTTGGAACAAGTAGTGTTAATGCATAGAATCGGTGGGAAAGATTGACGATTTAATTCACATGTAGATGCCACCGAAAATTAGTGTGTCTAGGGTTTAAACAATGTAAAGTGATCCAGACTTGGAGGGCAATGATGATTGATGTGTTTTACGTAACTGAAAATGCAATCTGCAAAGCGAAAACTTCATTTTCGTAAACAACGAATTTGGAGTTGATTTCTTCTGGTCGAAAGTTGAGTTGAGATGGGTGGACGAGCCACTCACGATCACTGAAGAGATTTAGAGAAAAGTAATTCTAAGTGAGACTGGGAGAATGGAATTCCCCAAAATTATGAATAAACTGACAACAAAAGAGATTTACCGAAATCCACCTACGTGCTGTGCCTCGTGCCAGTTTGAGCGTATGTCCATAAATACGAATGCGTGAAGCGAATGCGTCAGACGGAGACTGAGACCAGAGACAAGAGAGAGACGACGGAGATTTCGTCCAAACCACCAGTCGTGATACACGACACGTGATTGCCTGCCGAACAGAACACCCCGACTTCAGCCTTGTACCGAACTTTACCAAAACAGTAACCCAAACTTTACCAAGTCACAATAATATTACTTCCGATTTAGACGCGGGTTGTGTTGATAATTAATTGCATACGAACTCTGATATAACAAATTACTGTACGAAGGACTGATATAAAAACAGTATTTACTGTTGTTCAATTTATTCGAGTGTTATTTTTTTTCCTGTACGTCTTCGCCCTTCTTGGACCAACCCGACAGGAAGATACTTGAGACGATTCTATCTTGGCATCCTTATGATCAAACATAAACCAAAATGTGGGATAGGGTAGGTCTTAGATCGAAGCGATCTTCATCGATCGGCCGCGGTTTTGGAAGTCTTGGATGGCTGGGGAAGGTGTTGTACGATTACACAGAGAGAGAGAGAGAGAGAGAGATATGGATAGATGTAGATATTGATACTAACACACACACACACAAACATATATGTGTTTGTGTGTATATGTGTATATACATACATAATGGGCGATAATAAGCGCGTTTCAAATTGGTTACAAAGTTCACTGATTTGAATCTCATCATGGTCGATTTGTCTTGAAGGTGACACCTTGATATTATCAAGCTGAGAAAGTGAAAGGGCATGAAAGTCTTATGGTTGAAATTGAGTTGACGTAACTATTCGATTGGGAATATGCTGATCTCCCCCAGAAAACTGGAACTACGCTTCCTTTTTTTAACTTCAAAAATGCTAACTTGACGCCTTACGATTCATTTAACGTTTTATAAAGCGTAAACAAAGTGTAAACAGTCAAGTAAATTTCATGTTTCTGGTATTCATTTCCCGCCATTGTGCCTTCAACCACTTATTGTTTCTTCCATGTTTCGTCTATTATCAGTTTCTCTCTTTCATCCAATAATTCACTTTTTCTTCTCTTTCCCTTTATATTTCTTTGTCTTTTATTCAGTAACTTTGCCTGAAGCTTAATCACTTCAACCGACGTGATTCTTTCTACTTCTACTGTCATAACGATTTTTTTCTTTTCTTTATCGTCTTTTCTTTTCTCTCTGACGTCCATTCTTTCTTTGTTTCTTTACTGTTTATTTGTTTCCATTGTTTTTGTAGCCTTTTATTTCATTCATTTTACCCCTGGCGCAAATTCTTTTTTTTTTTCTTTTTCTTTCTTTCTTTCTTTCTTTCTTTCTTTCTTTCTTTCTTTCTAGCCTGCTCTTTCTTTCTTTTTACTCTAGTCGTGAGTTCTTTCTTTCTTACTTTCTTTCTTTCTTTCTTTCTTTCTTTCTTTCTTTCTTTCTTTCTTTCTTTCTTTCTAGCCTGCTCTTTCTTTCTTTTTTCCCTAGTCGCGAGTTCATTCTTTCTTTCTTTCTTTCTTTCTTTCTTTCTTTCTTTCTTTCTTTCTTTCTAGCCTGCTCTTTCTTTCTTTTTACTCTAGTCGCGAGTTCTTTCTTTCTTTCTTTCTTTCTTTCTTTCTTTCTTTCTTTCTAGCCTGCTCTTTCTTTCTTTTTACCCTAGTCGCGAGTTCTTTCTTTCTTTCTTTCTTTCTTTCTAGCCTGCTCTTTCTTTCTTTTTACCCTAGTCGCGAGTTCTTTCTTTCTTTCTTTCTTTCTTTCTTTCTTTCTTTCTTTCTTTCGTTCTAGCCTGCTCTTTCTTTCTTTTTACCCTAGTCGCGAGTTCTTTCTTTCTTTCTTTCTTTCTTTCTTTCTAGCCTGCTCTTTCTTTCTAGCCTGCTCTTTCTTTCTTTTTACCCTAGTCGCGAGTTCTTTCTTTCTTTCTTTCTTTCTTTCTTTCTTTCTTTCTTTCTTTCTTTCTTTCTAGCCTGCTCTTTCTTTCTTTTTACCCTAGTCGCGAGTTCTTTCTTTCTGTCTTTCTTTCTTTCTTTCTTTTTTTCTTTCTTTCTAGCCTGCTCTTTCTTTCTTTTTACTCTAGTCGCGAGTTCTTTCTTTCTTTCTTTCTTTCTTTCTTTCTTTCTTTCTTTCTTTCTTTCTTTCTAGCCTGCTCTTTCTTTCTTTTTACTCTAGTCGCGAGTTCTTTCTTTCTTTCTTTCTTTTTCTTCTTTCTTTCTTTTTCTAGCCTGCTCTTTCTTTCTTTTTACCCTAGTCTGAGTTCTTTCTTTCTTTCTTTTCTTTCTTTCTTTTTTTTCTTTCTTTCTTTCTTTCTTTCTTTCTTTCGTTCTAGCCTGCTCTTTCTTTTTTTTACCCTCGTCGCGAGTTCTTTCTTTTCTTTCTTTCTTTTTTTCTTTCTTTCTAGCCTGCTCTTTCTTTCTTTTTACCCTAGTCGCGAGTTCTTTTCTTTCTTTCTTTTCTTTCTTTCTTTCATTCTTTCTTTCTTTCTTTCTTTCTAGCCTGCTCTTTCTTTCTTTTACTCTAGTCGATTTTCTTTCTTTCTTTCTTTCTTTCTTTCTTTCCTTCTTTCTTTCTTTCTTTTTAGCCTGCTCTTTCTTTTTTTTTACCCTAGTGGCGAGTTCTTTCTTTCTTTCTTTCTTTCTTTTTCTCTTGAGTTCTTTCTTTCTTTCTTTCTTTCTTTCTTTTCTTTCTTTCTTTCTTTCTTTCTTTCTTTCTTTCTTTCTAGCCTGCTCTTTCTTTCTTTTTACCTCTTGAGTTCTTTCTTTCTTTCTTTCTTTCTTTTTTCTTTTCTTTCTTTCGTTCTAGCCTGCTCTTTCTTTCTTTTTACCCTAGTCGCGAGTTCTTTCTTTCTTTCTTTCTTTCTTTCTTTCTAGCTTTTCTTTCTTTCTTTTTACCCTAGTCGCGAGTTCTTTCTTTTCTTTCTTTCTTTCTTTCTTTCTTTCTTTCTTTCTTTATTTCTAGCTGCTCTTTCTTTCTTTTACCCTAGTCGCAGAGTTCTTTCTTTCTTTCTTTCTTTCTTTTTTTCTTTCTTTTTCTTTCTTTCTAGCCTGCTCTTTCTTTCTTTTTTACTCTAGTTGCGAGTTCTTTCTTTCCTTCTTTCTTTCTTTCTTTCTTTCTTTCTTTCTTTCTTTTCTAGCCTGCTCTTTCTTTCTTTTTATCCTAGTCGCGAGTTCTTTCTTTTCTGTCTTTCTTTCTTTCTTTCTTTTTTCTTTTTTTCTAGCCTGCTCTTTCTTTCTTTTTGCTGTAGTCGCGAGTTCTTTTCTTTCTTTCTTTCTTTTTTTTTCTTTCTTTTCTTTCTTTCTTTCTTTCTTTCTTAGCTTGCTCTTTCTTTCCTTTACTCTAGTCGAGTTCTTTCTTCTTTCTTTCTTTTCTTTCTTTCTTTCTTTCTTTCTTTCTTTCTTTTCTAGCCTGCTCTTTCTTTCTTTTTTTTTACCCTAGTCGCGAGTTCTTTCTTTCTTTCTTTCTTTCTTTCTTTCTTTCTTTCGTTCGTTCTAGCCTGCTCTTTCTTTTTTTTTACCCTAGTCGCGAGTTCTTTCTTTCTTTCTTTCTTTCTTTCTTTCTAGCCTGCTCTTTTCTTTCTTTTTTACCCTTGTCGCGAGTTCTTTCTTTCTTTCTTTCTTTCTTTCTTTCTTTCTTTCTTTCGTTCTAGCCTGCTCTTTCTTTCTTTTTACCATTTTCGCGAGTTCTTTCTTTCTGTCTTTCTTTCTTTCTTTCTTTTTTTCTTTCTTTCTAGCCTGCTCTTTCTTTCAATGAGTTCTTTTTTCTGTCTGTCTTTTTCTTTCTGTTTTTCTAGCCTGCTCTTTCTTTCTTTTTATCCTAGTCGCGAGTTCTTTCCTTCTTTCTTTCTTTCTTTCTTTCTTTCTTTCTTTCTTTCTTTCTTTCTTTCTTTCTAGCCTGCTCTTTCTTTCTTTTTACCCTAGTCGCGAGTTCTTTCTTTCTTTCTTTCTTTCTTTCTTTCTTTCTTTCGTTCTAGCCTGCTCTTTCTTTCTTTTTACCCTAGTCGCGAGTTCTTTTTTCTTTTTTTTTTTTCTTTCTTTCTTTCTTTCTAGCCTGCTCTTTCTTTCTTTTTTTTCTAGTCGCGAGTTCTTTCTTTCTGTCTTTCTTTCTTTCTTTCTTTTTTTCTTTTCTTTCTAGCCTGCTCTTTTTTTTCTTTTTGCTGTAGTCTTGAGTTCTTTTTTTTTTTCTTTCTTTCTTTCTTTCTTTCTTTCTTTTTTTCTTTCTTTCTTTCTAGCCTGCTCTTTTTTTCCTTTTACTCTAGTCGCGTGAGTCCTTTTCTTTCTTTCTTTCTTTCTTTCTTTCTTTCTTTCTTTCTTTCTTTCTTTCTAGCCTTCTTTCTTTCTTTTTTTACCCCTAGTCGCGAGTTCTTTCTTTCTTTCTTTTTTCTTTCTTTCTTTCTTTTTTTTTTTCTTTCTTTTCTTTCTTTCGTTTCTAGCCTGCTCTTTCTTTCTTTTTTACCCTAGTCGCGAGTTCTTTCTTTCTTTTCTTTCTTTTTTCTTTCTTTATTTTCTAGCCTGCTCTTTCTTTCTTTTTTACCCTAGTCGCGAGTTCTTTTCTTTCTTTCTTTCTTTCTTTCTTTCTTTCTTTCTTTTTCTAGCCTGCTCTTTCTTTTTTTTTTTACCATTTTTCTTGAGTTCTTTTCTTTCTGTCTTTCTTTCTTTCTTTTTTTTCTTTCTTTCTAGCCTGCTCTTTCTTTTTTTTTACCCTAGTCATGAGTTCTTTCTTTCTGTCTGTTTTTTCTTTCTTCTTGTCTTTTAGCCTGCTCTTTCTTTCTTTTTTTTTACTTTTCCTTCTTTCTTTTCTTTCTTTCTTTCTTTCTTTCTTTCTTTTCTTTCTTTCTTTCTTTCTTTCTAGCCTGCTCTTTCTTTCTTTTTACCCTAGTCTTGAGTTCTTTCCTTTTCTTTCTTTTCTTTCTTTCTTTCTTTCTTTCTTTCTTTCTAGCCTGCTCTTTTCTTTCTTTTTACCCCTAGTCGCAGTTCTTTCTTTCTTTCTTTTTTTTTTTTTCTTTTCTTTTTTTTCTAGCCTGCTCTTTCTTTTTTTTTACCCTAGTCGCGAGTTCTTTCTTTCTTTTTTTTTCTTTTTTTCTTTTCTTTCTTTCTTTCTTTCTTTCTAGCCTGCTCTTTTTTTTCTTTTTTACCCTAGTCGCGAGTTCTTTCTTTCTTTCTTTCTTTCTTTTTCTTTTCTTTCTTTCTTCTAGCCTTTCTTTTTTTTTTTTACCCTTGTCCCGAGTTCTTTTTTTTTTGTCTTTCTTTCTTTCTTTCTTTTTTTTTCTTTCTTTCTTTCTTTCTTTCTTTTTTCTAGTCACTTGAGTTCTTTCTTTCTTTTCTTTTTTTCTTTCTTTCTTTCTTTCTTTTCTTTCTTTCTTTTTTCTAGCTTTGCTCTTTCTTTTTTTTACCCTAGTCGCGAGTTCTTTCTTTCTGTCTTTTTTTTCGTTCTTTTTTTTTTCTTTCTTTTAGCCTGTCTTATTTTCTTTCTTTACTCTAGTCTTGAGTTTTTTCTTTCTTTCTTATTTTTTTCTTTCTTTTTTTTTTTTCTAGCCTGCTTTTTTCTTTTTTTTTACCCTAGTCGCGAGTTCTTTCTTTCTTTTTTTTTCTTTCTTTTTTTTCTTTTTTCTTTCGTTCTAGCCTGCTCTTTCTTTTCTTTTTACCCTAGTTTTAGAGTTCTTTTTTCTTTCTTTCTTCTTTCTTTTTTCTTTTCTTTTCTAGCCTGCTCTTTCTTTCTTTTTACCCTAGTCGCGAGTTATTTTCTTTCTTTCTTTCTTTCTTTTGTTTCTTTCTTTCTTTCTTTCTTTTTCTAGTTGCTCTTTCTTTCTTTTTTACCATTTTCGCGAGTTCTTTCTTTCTGTCTTTCTTTCTTTTTCTTTTTTTTCTTTCTTTTAGCCTTTCTTTCTTTCTTTTTTTTACCCTAGTCATGATTTTCTTTTCTTTCTGTCTGTCTTTCTTTCTTTCTGTCTTTCTAGCCTGCT